TTCTGGAACCACTGAAGCCAATGTGGTGGAGACCCACAATGCTCTTCGGAAGGAAATTCCAGGATTTTGACTCAGTGACAATGAAGGAATAGTGATATATTCACAAGTCAGGAACCTGCAGGAGGGGGTGTTCCTGCTGCCCATGTCCTTCTAGATGAAAGTGTTTTCTGAGGATCTTCGGTGAATTTCTGCAGTGCATCTTGTAAATGGTACACACTGCTGCTACTTAGCATCAGTGGTGCAGTGACTGAGTGTTTGTGAACACAGTGCCAATCAACTGAGCTGCTTTGTCCTGGATGGTGTCAAGCTTCTTCAGTGTTGTTGCAGCTGCAGCCATCCAGACAGGTAGGGAGTATTCCATCTCATTCCTGACTTGTATCTTGTAATGGTGGACAGGCTTTGGGGAGTCGAAAGGTGAGATGCTCACTGCAGTATTCTTAGCCTCTGAACTGTTCGTCTAACCACTGTATTTATATGGTGAGTCCAGTTGAGTTTCTCATCAATGGTAACCCCAGGATGTTGATAGTGGAGGATTCAGTGATGGTAACACTATTAAATATATTAGGGCAATGGTTGTATTGTTGCAGATGGACATTGCCTGGCATTTGTATGGCATGAATGTTACGTGCCACTTGTCAGCACAAATCTGGATAGTATACAGATCTTGTTGTATTTGGACAGGGACTGCTTCAGTATCTGAGGTGTTACAAATGGTGGCTGAACGTTGTGCAATCGTCGGCAAATGTCGCCACTTCTGACCTTATGATGAAGGGAAGGTCATTGATGAAGCAGCTGAAGATGGTTGGGCCTTGGACACTCTCTTGAGGAGCTCCTGCAGAGATGTCCTGGATCTGAGATCACTAAACTCTAACAACCACAACATCTTCTTATGCGCCAAGTGTGACTTCAAGCAGTGGAGATCTTGCTCCCTGATACCCATCGATTCTATTTTGCTAGGCTTCATTGATTTGGTCATATGTGGCCTTGATGTCAATGGCTGTCACCTCATCTCTGGAATTCAACTTTTGGTTCATGTTTGAACCAAGGCTGTAATGAGGTCAGGAGCTGAATGGCCCTAGTGGAACCCAAACTGGGTGTCATTGAGCGGGTTATGGCTGAGCAGGTGCTGCTTGATAGGAATGTTGATGATGCTTTCTTTCATTTTACTGATAATCGATAGTAGAATTTGGAGTGATAATTGCTCCTCAATCCTGAAGAAAGGTCACTCCACCCGAAACATTAACTCTGATTTCTATCCACAGATGCTGCTAAACGTGCTGAGCTATTCCAGCAATTTCATTTTTGTTCCTGATGGGGAGGTAATTGGCTAGGCTGGATTGGTCCTGCTTTTTGTGTATGGGGCATATGTGGGCTTATTTTCCACTTTATTGGGTAGATGTCAGTGTTGTAACTGGAATAGCTTGGCTATAGGGAGTGGCAAGTTCTGGAGCACAAGTCTTCAGTACTATTGCTGGAAGACTGTGAGGGCCTGGAGCCTTTGCATTATCCAGGGCCTCCTATCCTACCATTTTGTGACATTATGTGGAGGGAATTGAATTGTCTGAAGACTGGTATCTGTTTTGCTGGGGACCACCTAGATGAAGCCAAGATGGATCATCCACTTGGCACTTCTGGCTAAAGATTATTATGAATGCACTTTTTTTGTATTGATGTGTTGAGCTCCCCCATCAATGAGGATGGGGATATTTGTTGAACTTCCTCCTCTAGTGAGTTGTCAATTGTCCTTCACCATTCATGACTGGATATGGCAGAGCTTCAGGGCTTAAATCTGATTTGTTGGTTGTGGGATCATGTAGCTCTGTCTATCACTTGCTGTTTATGCTGTTTGGGATGCAAGTAGTCCTGTTTCATAGTTTCACCAGGTTAACACCTAATTTTTAGGTATGCCTGGTTCTACTCCTCGCATGCCCTCCTGCACTCTCTATTTAACCAGGGGCTGACCTCTGGCTTAATGGTAATGGTTGAGTGGGGGATATGCCAGGCTGTGAGTTGCGGACTGGGGATATGCTGACATTTATTATATAAATATTAATTGCCAAATGAGCGACATACAAAAGCTGGATGCCAGTCATATCTTTCAAAAGAATGGCATCACCTCCTCAGGTGGAAAGTTGGAATGGGGATAAAGCAGACAAATTACAAATCAGCAACCCTTTCTTCTCATACATTCCTGGGTAAACATCCTGGTTGATGTAGCACCAAGACACAGAGAGACCTGACTTAGTCAAGGAATCAAAATGCACTTTTTTTTAACTCATGTAGATCATGATCAATAGTTCCTTCAGTTTAATTTGTACTGTTTGGAAAGGGGAGGAGAAAACAGTGTGAGTATTCCTTTCTAAATTCTTTTCCTCTTATGCCTGCTGGCAAATACTTGTTTGGATGCCATGATGGTGCTCGGTGATAATCATTACCTAAGATGTGCATTCAAATGGTCACCCAATGGAGGATCTTGGTGCCAATGCCTACAGTAGAACTTGAATGGCAGTATGTGCCTTCAGGATATGACAGAAGATCAGAATGAAAAAGAAATTCAGAGAGCACTTAACTCAGAAATGTAAGTATACATCATTTTAATTAAGTCATTTAATATTTTACATCATGGTAAACATTCAATTATTTACAAAAAACCTTTATTGAATAATTAAACTCCACCAACACACAAACTATTTTGAAATTAGAGGGGTATCATTTCAGGCTTCTCTGGTGAGTTATTTTCCATTCAGTATTTCACACTGCTATTAACATCAATTGCTGTTTAAAGAGTAACCTATTTCATCATCAATAAGTTAAGGATTCATTTACATTTAAACAATAAATACAAATGAGATAACAAAAAAGTTAACAACTTTCAAATATAACATTCATCTTCAAATCTGACAAATGATGGGATAATTGGCTAGGGGGCATTATTAGAATAACTTCTTCAATATTTTTAATCATCTACCAGTTTTATGCAAGATTTTAATTTTGTTTGCACAAATAATCGACATTTTCTTTCCATATACTGGAATATACCATTATTCAAGTTACTTACTTTCACTAGCAGTCTTAAATATATATAATCAGGTAGAACAGTTCAACAGATTTATATTTGTATTAAAAAGGAATGTAGGGTTAGATCCACATATAGCCCTATTCAGCTCAGGTCAATACAAAGTTGTGAGGGAGGCTAAAGCCAATTATTTAGGCTACAAATACAAAGAACAAGGAAATGCTCCCTATGGAATTGATAGACAAGAAGTACCATTTTCCAACAATTTTTTTCAGGTTTGTTGTCCTCCAAGTTCACAATAAAGGTTGACCACATAGGAACATTTAGTTTTTGAAACTGCAAATGACCGTTTCCAGGTGACGAGAAGTGACTCAGTACAATGTCTATTTAATGTAGGTTCTCTTACCAATAACTAAGAGCAAAACATGTGTTTTTTGAGGCTTGGAAGAGGACAGAGGACATTTCTGTTAGACAAAAACAGATATTTGCTTTCTTAAAAAAAAGACTTATTTTCATATAGCACACCATATATGTATATATTAGGAACAGATTAATGCATTTAAGCAAATACATTACCAGTCCAGATCTCTAAGTTACTGAAAGTGTAATAATTGGAAATGAAAGAGCTTAGCATACTGACAAAGTACATTACTTATTAACTGGTAACATTACTGTAGCAGGTACATAATTGGACACATTTGAATCAAAAGCACGTACAAATTGTAACAGTGAACAAGAATATTGGGTATTGTAGCTCAAACAGAAATTGATAAAAGACAGTTAAAAAAATGTCAGACACCTGATAGGATCAGATTAGTTTGTTCTCAAGGTATGGCAAAGAATCACTAGCCCTTATCCAGTGAATTTCAGAAGCAGGCACTCTTCTCTGAAAATAAACATTATAACTATCATACTTTTAAAAGTATGCACTGTATCATCATTGCATCATCCAAATGGCTCATCTACAATGACATGTTGATCTCATAGTTTTTTCTATTTCATACCTTCTTACCAGACTACTATCAATTAAAAGGCGCAGTAAGGAGCACTCTAATGCTATTCTTGAGTTTACATGGAAGTAGGGAACACAAAGATTAGGAAGCCCATTTTATGCATGGCTTTCACATACTCAATTTATCTGAAGAGTTGCCTGCAACTATCCCATTTTGCTCATTATAAAAAAAATTCTCTTTCCCTGCCATTACTGACCTTTTGTAACTAACTGCTTGAGTAGATGGACAATCCATGGTACATCTTTAAAATCTGCCACTCAAGATTTTAGTTTTTGTTTAATGTATCTGTGTTAACCCCTGCGTTTATGAATGCATGTAGCTTCCGAAGGTTATGCGCTTTAAAGAACAAGAAAAAGAGAAAGTGCCCCGCTCTTTGCTCATGGTGCTGTGAGCACATTCGAGGTTCACTATTGTCAAAATCCAGTTATAAACGTGTGAGGTGTTAAGAGTTATGCACTCATCCATTTTGAAATAATTAATCTTGGTCCTAAATTCTAACATCTACATTTAGGAAGACATCAATTTCCCAAAAGACCTTTCAGCAGTATTAAATTCTGGTGTTTCTATTGCTGTGCGCACGTAAATTCTAGTTCTTTCCTTAATTTTATTTAACTATTTGTTAGCAGTTGAAACTTAACTACAGATATGGATGATTCAATGGAGCCAAGTACAGAGGTTACAAAAATGCAACAGCAACAACAATTAATATGAAGCCATGCAAATGACATGGCAGTTAGCAAATATTTAATGCAGCTACATTAATGATAGGAAATTGGAACAGCTTATTATCCTTCTCCTGGGTTTATTAAGAATGCCACCCGTACACGAATCCGTTCAGACATTTAAAATTCCAAAGGGGCTTAAAGGGATATGAACACTTGGCTGTATCCCAAATTAACTTGTAACATGAATGTGCTACAAACAACCCACCCTGTGATTGTAAAGTTATCACAGTTCCTACCCAGTGTGGCTTATAGTCTGGTCTGGGCCTCTGGGATATAAATTTCAATGCTGTCTGCACTTTCTGTGGCAGAGTTCTGTCTCACAGATGCAGCTCGCTTGGCAGCCATCAGGCGTTTCCGTGCCTCCTGCCTTTGTTTCTCTGTGGCTTCCAGTGATTTTTCACGTTTGAGGGGCACTTGACCCTTTGGCGGTTTCTTTGGCACAGGAGGAGGTATTCTTTTCTCCTGCAGTAAGAAATACAACAGCATGTGAGTGACTAGTGTTCTTCAGGTAGGTGTGGCAAAACACAACTACAGTATTTCACACAATCCATAGATGCATACAGCACCTGGCAACATTGTTGCCGTCGCTTTTTTGAAGAAAACGTATCAAGTCACTATCAAAATTACTCAACGTTATTGACACCACCATGTCACCAATTCACACAGAAATTATCTTTCCTTCTGGTGCCCAACTACACAGTATCAATATGATATCTGAAGAAAGGGAGGAAAGGACAAAATGTTCTCGTAGCTCTATAGCCTTGTGCAAGTTTAGATTCTCGGGAAGCAATAGCTCAGTCAGAAACAGTATTTTATAGTTAAGCAAACAAACTTGTTCCATTAGACTAATTGTTTCACTTCTTATGTAGTTAAACTCCAACTTAGCTTAGTGGGACCACTCTCTCAGTCAGAAGCATGTGGATCAAAATGTTCCAGAGGTTTGTGGCATTGAAGGAGAGCTCAGTGGTTGAGGGTGAAAACTATCAGTTGACACAGAACCTCTACAGTGTGAAAGCAGGCCATTCGGCCCATCAAGTCCACACTGGGGAGAATGTGCAAATCCAAACACAGCAGTTGCCCGAGGCTGGAACTGAACCTGGGTCCCTGGCACTGTGAGGCAGCAGTGCTAAGCACTGAGCCAACATGCCACCCTAAGCTGATATATTATGCTGAGGTTTGGCCCCTCAGATGGGTGTAAAAGAGTTTATATGGCACAATTTGAAGAATTTCAGAATCCTAGTGTGGAAAGAGGCAATTCAGCCTATTGAGTCTGCACTGACCATCCGAAGAGTATCCCACCCAAGTCAAGCCCCCAGCCTATCTCTGTTGCCCTGCATTTACCATGTCTACTCCACTTAGCCTGCACATCCCTAGACACTGCATAGCCATCCACCTAACCTAATTTTTGGACTGTAGGTGGAAACTGGAGCACCCAGTGGAGAGTCGCACAGACACGGGTAGAATACACAAACTCCACACAGACAGTCACTCAAGACTGGAATCGAAGTTAAGACAAAAAAACAGCAGATGCTGGAATCCAAGGTGGACAAACAGGAGGCTGGAAGAACACAGCAAGCCAGGCAGCATCTGGAGGAAAGGAGCAGTCAACGTTTCGGGTATTACTCTTCTTCAGGGCTGGGTGTGGGCGTAGGAGGAGCTGCAGATCAAAAGAGGGGGAGAGGGGTGGTAGTAATAGGTACAACCCGTTGGTTGATTGGAGGGATGAATCTGGTTGTTGGCAGGAACAGAGGAATGGAACGGCAAAGGTGAGGCTAGAAAGGGAGGCAGGGGATGGGTGGGAAGGTTATTTGAAACTGGCAAATTCATTGTTGAGTCCTCTGGGCTGTACAGGGCCCAGGGGGAAGCTAAGGTGTTGTTCTTCAAATTTGCATTCCAAGTTGCTGGGATTCTGAGACTGGAATCAAACTTGTATCCCTGGTGCTGTGAGGCAGCAGTGCTAATCACTGAGCCACCATGCCACCCAAGAACAATAAAGTCACTGACCAATATTTAAATCAACATAACTGAAACAGAGTATCCACTCGTGTATCTTATCTATTTAGTGGGATTTTGCTCTGCAAAACCAAAATTGCTGCTACATTACAGCCTACTAATATTTTTGAAATGCAATGTATTCTGGGACATCCAGAGTTTCTGAGACATCCAGAGTTTCTGAAATCAGCTGTATAAATAGAAGTTTGTTCTTTTCCTTCTCAGAAGTATTGCTTTAAATTTGCAGCTCTGTATCACTAGCACTTTTTCTGCAAACCTAATTTTCTTTTCTCTCCTGATTAGATTGGTTCTATTTATTCAGTACTATTAACCAAACGGCTAACACCATTAATGTTGGCAAGCTATTTGATCACTCCAGGGGTGCAGTATTACGTGGGAAGATGTCATTTTGCCAGGAAGTATAATAAAAGAAGACTATTATCTAAAGTGTGAGAGGTGACAGAGAAATGGAGAGGAATCTGGGTGTCCTAGTAAATGCGTCACAAAATGTTAACACGCAAGGACATAAGTAATTAGGAAAGCGAACAGAATGTTAATTTTTATTGCGAGGAGAATTGAATACAGAAGTAGGGAGCATGAGCTTCAGTTATCCAGGGCATTGGTAAGAGCACTTCCAGAGTACTGTGTATAATCTTGGCCTGCTTCTTTAAGGAAGGATACAAATGCATTGGAGGCAGCTCAATGTAGGTTTATTGAACTAATACGTGAAATGGGCAGGTTTTCTAATGAAGAAAGGTTAGGCAGGCTGTATCCACTGGAGCTTAAAACAGATTGAAACATATACGTTCTGGAGGGGCCTTGGCAGGCTGCCTGTGGAAAACATGTTCCTTCTGGTGGGAGAATCTGGAACTAGCTGTCATAATTTCAAAATAAAGAATCACTGATTTAAGACAGTGATAAGGAGAACTTTTGTCTAACAGAGAGTAGTAAGTCTTTGGAATTCTCTTTCTGAAAAGACAGCAGAAATAGAATCTTTGAATATTTTTAAGACAGAGGTAGATAGATTCTTGTCTAGAGTGGGGGTGAAAGGTAATCCAGGTAAACAAGAATGTGGAATAATCAACCCAGCCATGATCCTACTGAATGTTGAAACAGTTTCAAGTGGTTGAGTGTTCTACTTCTGCTCCTAACTCATTTATAAGTTCATACGCTGTTGATTTAGTACAACATACATAATGTGTTGGTTTAAGGGCAAGAAAGGGAAATTTCTACTTTTCAAATGCATGCACTATCTTGGGATAAGTACTTTAGATCTAAAAGTATATTTAAATTATTTAGATATGCCCTTACCTTGTTAAGATGTAGGCAAGTGGCATATGTTTTGAGATGCTAGTGCAAGGTTCATCTAACTTGCAGATTAGTGACATCTAAATAGCTCAACTTAACATCAGTATTCACTAGCTATTTGTGTTTGATATCAAATCTTTTCTTGTTCCTGGTCCTAGCTAAAAAAATATTGCATTCAAATAAATAATTATTAACCTTTTGTTAAAAGCAATTTTTTTTGCCCATTTTCATCCCCATTCTTGCCAATATTAGTAGCTCATGCCTGGATAATGTTTCACAAATATATGCAGCAATCTGCCACCTCATTTTATTTAAATATCTTGCAAATGTTTCCAAATTTTGGAGTATAATTCAACTGTGGCCAAAATTAAAATTGAGTACAATTCTGTCCTGATTCAATACCTTGATTCAACCAAGATTATTTGATAGTAATCAGAAACAGGGGTCTGGCTAATTTCTCCCCTACCCAGCCTGAGGATATAATGGGACATTGTGGCACCTCGTTGGCTTCATTGCTAACTCAGCTTAGATAATGTTTGAGATAGAGAGTTTCTTTGTCTGTATGTTACCGTACCACACAAATTGCTGTAGAAGTCACATTAGCCTCAATATAAATATAAAAATTATGTTTTCGTTTATATGCCTGTGGTTAGCAGGCAATATTTACGTTTGTATGAATTTACATGAGTCGACCAAAATGTATTAATTATAAGCAACATTATATTTTATCACATCTACATTATCATTTGGGAGGTCAGTATGCAAACATAATAACAATTTATTTTACTTAAGTACCTTGCACTGAATTTGCCTGAGGAAATGTCTTTCTCCCATCATTTATAGGAAAGCGCAACAACTTAATTATACACACAGGAAAGTTGCAATGATCATGATATGTCGGACAGCCATAAAACTAAAGTAGTAATGAACTGAGCCTTTAAAGAAGCAATGAGTTATTAATTATCTTTAGCATTATTTTAAATGTTAAATATCAAATCTGTAATTGCTGTGCGGAGGAAGACCTGGTTTCAGTATTTAGGTATGAATTTCTGTGCAGATGGAGAAGCTCTCCATTGTTATGAAAATGGTAGTGGAGGCCTGAGTATTTTGCATGGGGTGGTGTATGGTACATCCATCCACCATTCATGGAGGCAAATGTACATGTTAAAGTGAAGCTGCCTCAGATTGATCTGGTTTTCACTGGTTTATGTCCATAGCATGACGTATGCGCTTTACAGACAATAGGTCAACACCTAAAACTTCCAGTCCTTTGCACACATAAAGTTTTGGATATGGCTCTGGGACACCTTTGCAGATGGTCAGGTGTTCTTTGCTGGAGGTCAGGTGCACCATGGAAGAGATAAGATGCTCCTTGAGCAAGATCTTGTCCTCTCTGGGCTTTTACAAATAGACGTTAGTATGTATAAGACGTGCATAAACTCATTGAAACTATCAGGCTCAATGGAAATGTCAAAGCAATGGTCAAGCGAACTGTAAAGCCATCATGGATTAAAATCTCCTTTCAATATTTGCAAAGAAAAACCCTACCTCCATTGTTTAAAAAGAATCAGTACTTGCTATTCCACTATTTTGACACAAGCCTGAGGGCTATTATTAAAGGATTATTGTTACGTGACTAATTTCACAATAGTCAATTCATCAAGGACCATGCAAAAACTTTATTAAATCTAAACGTAGCTCTTGATGTCTGCTCATGTTGGATATTGGGTGAGATGGCATGGTATATGTAAGAATACATGGGGTGATAAGGGAATATGGATTGATACTAAGGTGGCATTTAAGACGCTATGTGGAGGGGTAAGGTGGCATGGATTGGCATGCAGCATATGAAACGGTCATTGAAGGTGGTACAGAAGCAAAGGTTGGCATGGAGTATATAAGGAGTCATGGGGAGTGGGTTGGCAACATGAGGTGGCATGGATTGAGCATAACGGGTGTGTGTGGGGTGGTGGGGGTGGTGGAGGTGAAGAGCTGTGATAGCTATTCTTTGCCAGTGTGTCAAGTCAGGCCTTCTACCCAGGCCACCTGCACACCCAGCTGTTTCCAAGCTCTTTTCTGTATCCCATGACTCCCATTTTCACTTGTTCACAAAAATGAGAACTTGGACCATCATGCACTACCATCCTGACTTAACAAAT